TGCCTAGATGACTTACCTGAAGTTGTATAACAACCTTTTGTGTTATCTGGGACTGGTGTCCGTTTCATATCCATATTTGACCTTTGTTGAAAATGGCCTAACTTGAACGCAGCATGTTTGTAACCTTGGTTACTGATTTGCCCAGCGCCATCACTGTCCAAGTCTGCATCGTGCAACAAACCTTTACAGCTATCATGCGACCGATTCGCATCGAATTGGCGAGACCTTAACATTTCTGACTGAATGCTTTTTGCGTCCGAACTAACATGTGACCTGTCCTTAAGAAATGCTTCAGCCTTATCAAGGGCAAGTTCAATTTCATCTTCAACAGTTTCTATCTCCTTACTAGTTTTCTGAACTTTCTCTAGGTCACCAACCCAGTTGTAAGCTTCTAGTAATTCAACTATGAGACCTATAGCCTTGCTTTGCAGAAACTTACCTGATCAATTAGACTCCTAATTGTCTTACGATCTGGTGTCTCAAGTTCAACTAAATTCAACAATTTGTTCTTTGATTTTGTCAAAGCTGACTTTGAAATAGTTTTCTGATGCTTAAGTTTAGCTATCTTTAGCTTTAGCTCAGAATTGTTCTTCAGTCCTACGTCTGAAGAAGTGTACTGTTTCAGCGCTACGTCTGAAGAAGTATCCTTTTCTATTTCCGCCTTACTCGCAGACCCTAACTGCGACATACTGCTTGAATGTAACAATTAGCTATACTTAATGCTAATCTAAACTAACGAAAGCCTAATACAAAACTAAAATATTCTAACCAGAGAAACCACGCTCTGCTACCAAATGTTGCGCAGTGGAACTGAATATTTGAGCGTGGTTTAACTTAAAATGAAAACTAATCTAAACTTTGTATGACTTACCTTTTTTGAATGAATCCAGGAACTAAACGTGATAACCTATTATAAAACTATGAAGATCTATAAGGAACTAAACGTGATTACCTGTTATTATATGAAGAAAAGATGAATAAACCTCAAATGAAAGAAACTAAATGCTAATTCTAACAGTTACTCCTAAGGGAGTCTTACCACTGTCTAACACTGTCTGACACCATCTGTCTGACACCATCTGTCTAACCATCTATCTAACCATCTAACGAATGGTCTAACGAACATTCTAGCGAACTATGACCAAGTCACTAACTGATGCGCGCTACCGCCTTATATTTACTCACAACCCTCACAGTTCACGTGCAGTCACAGCCATACGTTGGTGCGTTCAGCGGTGCGATCGTTATGCATCGGGTGCGTTTTGGAGAACAGATTCTCTATTTTACACTAACACGGGTGCATGTGAAGCGCGATCTATAGGCTCCTGGGAGTTCGGTCTTGACTGCCGTCGAGTTCGGACGTCTTTTGCTTCTCAGCAACTTGTCTAGTGTTATACAACACACTTATTGTTTATGATACTTCCTCTTTTGTTCTTTGGCTTTTGATTTCTCTTGTGTTGGAGTGCATTCAAACTTTTAATTTCTATTTGGTATTTGCTGATTGTTACAGTCAGTTGTTGGGGATTGTCCTCGACAATGGCTGACAACAGAATGGAATGTGAGGAAGGATTTAAAGTGGTGGCTTCAGGGAGGAAGCGACTCGGCCGTATTTCAGATGGTACTTCTAAAAAAGCCTGTGTTGCCAAGCAACCAAATACTGTCCCTCCTACTGCAAGGTCTGATCTTACTTTTGTCTTTGATGAGCCAGCGCGGGTCAAATCAACCACTGTTATCTTCAAAGCCGATGTAGATGAATATGATGATGGTTCACCGACCCTCTGTCAACTTATGACACAGCGTGCTTTGGCTAGAGCCTTGGCTAAGATCACTACAGAAATAGTCAGTGTTAAGCGGATGGCCAGGGGAGATGTTAATGTCACTGCAAAAACCGTTGAGGCTGCCAAAACACTTTTGCAAGTCACAGAACTTGATGAACATTTTGTCACCCCTCATGAGCCTGAATCCTTAATGAGAACACGTGGAGTCATCTATGGTATTGATCTGGATATTGAGATGAATGAAATTGAGGACAAGTTGAAACTTGTGTTACCTCTAATGTGCTCTGCTGTGCGTCAGACTCGTGGGCCTGAAAAAGTTCCCACCAAATCTGTTCTTCTTACATTTACTGGCCAGTCTTTACCGGATCATGTTGTCATTTTCTTCCAGAGATTTCCAATCCGGATATATGTTCCTCCTGCTCTTCGATGCTTCAAGTGTCAGTCCTTTGGGCATGTCTCTGCTAAGTGTAGAAGCACTCATCATGTGTGCGCTAAATGTGGAGGGAAGCACAAATACGAGGAGTGCAATGAAAGTTCCCTTAAATGTAAGAACTGTGGTGGTGCACACTCTGCGGCATATAAAGGTTGCATTAAATACCAGGAAGCTGTCCAGATTAAGAAAGTCCGAGTGGAGGGTAAGTTGTCTTATTCTCAGGCTGTTCGACAGGTGCGTGGAGATTTTGATGTCGCTCAGGTTCCAGCAGTCCCTAAACCACCTCCTGCAGCTAAACCACTGTCTCAGGTTGTTACAATTTTAGATGTTGTGTCTTCTCCAGTCATGGTGACTGCTAGTACTCAGACTGAGACTCTTGAAGTTGAATGTCAGACTGATCCTGTTGTTGACATCATGCCTGAATCATCTTGCAAACCTCTATTTAACAATGTCTCTCCTGTTGACTTTCTCAACTTTGTTATTTGTATAGTTGCTAATCTTGGCACTACTCGTACATTCAAGTCTGATGGTCTTCAGACGATAGCGTCAGCTGCCCAGTCCCTCTTGGGGTTAAGATTGTCCCCTGATGATCTGACGAGCATGGTTAAGGGTCAACAATGGAAGTCTTAATCCATCCTTCTTATGGATCTCTTGATGCTAGATCACTCAGTGCTAACGGTCCAGGATTTAAAGTTTGTATTAAGTTTTGACCCAGATGTTTTGTCTTCAGGAGACATTCTTAACTCCTAACCTAAAGCGTGTGGCAGTTTCACTACTCTATGAACTATCTAGGTACTTAGCAAACCTTTATTATGGGCAAGGTGTACATGGGCCTAGTTGCCCGAACACTTATAAAACTTTCTAAAAATCAATCAATATAGGCTCCTGGTGCGTTTTGGAGCACATTTTAATGAACAGACATGTCTTCAGAACAAAGATCTTAATACGTTAGGTGTAGGTTAGATCTATTTCGACTATATCGTAGCGTTGGGAAAATTATCATTGACTTAATATCCAGACAATAGTTCCTCTCGCGAACGTATATTTTTGTATATTAGCATACTAGTTGCACGGCAACATCCCAATATGAGTATGTGTACCAATGTCAATAACTTGTACGTTCCTACATTCAGTGACACGTACTCATAACAATGATTGCCTGCAACTTAGTAGCAATGAAAACTGAGTCGACCAACATTATATTATGTTGTCTGTTATACGAGGTATATGAATGTGACTCTATCTCTGAACACGTGTTGTACACGTATCATATTATCTTGTCATTATAATTAAATGTACTTCACTCGACTTCCACCGAATAAACGCCATCAACTCAGCAGCCTTCTCTGTTCTTCAAGGTGATGGCCAGTCGTGACCGTTCTACTACCGCTAGTTCCCCCAATTAAGTAGTAACACCCAAAAGGACGTCTACGTCACCCAAAAGACACGCTACGTCAAAAGGTTAGTCATGCCCGATCAACAAACTTAATCCAAAAGAAACGTCATAGGAAAAGGAAAAAGAGAATATAAATTGTCAATGCCGAAACAGATTCCTCTTGGCGTAAAGGGTACATCCCCTCGAACTTAGGTGACATCTCTGCTCCGGACACCCACAAACACAACAAAGACAATTGCCACAGGTAACGTACCCCTAGACTAACAGTCAGTCTCTGAAATCTTATATTACACAATATCCTTCTTGACTCTAAAAATAAAAAAAATCCCTATGCTGATTTCAGAATAGAGCTAGCTTGAGCTGGCTAGACTTGCTTTTGTATGCGTTTCTAGATTCATTTTTTTCATAAAATAAATATATTCCACGGTCATGCTGCAGGACTAACGTACCCCAGTAACCACATGTTATAAACTCAGAATCTAAATCAATACGCGACCACAGCTGTCTTGAATACACCAGAGGCAATACATAAGAAACTCTTAACGCAAAACTGTATTGAAAAGGTTATCATTGAGGTGAAATCCATAATCACTAGTTTGGAATTGAAAGTTCATTCAGTGGACAAATTGAAGGAACGAGTAAATAATGTCGAGAACAGTGTCAAATTCATTTGTGAGTCATTTGATGAATGGGCTATTGATAAAAATCAAACTCAAGCTGATATCAAAACATTTCAGGATTAGGCCCCCAGCTTGATGCCTTACAAAAAGAGAATGTGTCTTTGAGGGAACATTTGAGAGAACAATGAGAGACAGTCTAATCTTTTCTAATGTCCCTGATCAAGTGAAGACGTGGTATGAGCAATGATCGTGTTGAAACATGGGAACAGACGGAAGGCATACTCAGAGATTTTATAAAAACTGAACTCAAACTTGCCTGTAGTGAGACAATAAGCTTTGAAAGAGTCCACATACTAGGTGCTCGACGATTTACAGGACAAAAGGAAATAGGAAACCTAGATGAATCATTGTCTAAGTTTATTTACATAAGAGAGAGGGACTTAGTCTAGGAGCTGAACGGTAAGTCATTCCAGAGTGCTGTAGTTTCCTGAAGAAATTAGACAATATAGAAAAGAAGTCCTTATGCCACGTCTTATAGAGGCACGAAACGGAAGGAAGAAAGCGGCAATTATACATCAACAACGCTCTACAAACAGGTCACCCCCCAGCAGGCGAACGAGGCTTCACTCAGATAACGCGGGTGGAGAGGCGTAGCCATGCTCGTGACACACGGAGCAATAACTCAGCATTTTCCGATATTCTGTACACCAGTGGAGTAGCTACTTTAAACTTCTCTTGACAAGAATTGTATAGAGGCTCCAGAGACTGTGAGTAAAGTCCCATACTTGAGATTTAATGACTTTCCTGTCAACTTTCCACCCATGCTGAGAGTGAAAACAGTGTGTGTCACCCACACCCGACATGACCTTCATATACATGTACATGTAGAATCTGTCCCTTTAAGTCAGACAGACAGACAGACAGACAGACAGACAGTTTATTCAGTACAATGCAGATTGGATATTAACATTGTCACGTGATGTACATGATCAGATTTTAAATCAAGTTACACATTCCTCATTTTAAAGACATGTTTTAAGAATACATGAAACAGCGTGGATCATATCAGGATTTTCAGAGTTTAGCAGCTTTATCATTAACTGACGGTCTTTAAAAGTACCTTGCAACATGGGGAGAAATTTATACCTTAAATGGGAATACGTTTCACATGTAAGTAAGACATGATATTCATCCTCTACTTCCCCGGATGAACAGTTTGTACAAATAGAGTTCATAATATCACCGTATTTGGATCTGCGACATATATTTACAATAAGTTCTGATTAAACTTTTATCATTTTAACAAGTTAAATATCTTTCAGTTTGTAACAATGATTTTACTTTGATGTAATTGCTGAGATAAAGGGATTCAGAAATACTTTGGTGCCACTGTTGACAAAATATATCCTTCAGTCTTTGCTTAAATGAATATCAAGTAAACTGTGGATCTCCCACATCTTGAGAAATCCATACACTTGAAAAGCCACTAACAATTAATAGATTTCTCACATCTGAAACCCAATTATTTTTTCCATCACATCAAGTACCTTTAACATTTTGTAACACTGATATGGGTATCTACGTCTGTTACCCAATTTCGTTTTCCATTTTTATCAAAGAGTACCATCAAATTATAACATTTTTTCGGGAACCTATAAGATGGCATATTCAATAATCTTAACCAATATTTGATAACCTTTAGATATGAATATATATAGATTGGAAATCTTCCACAATCACCATATACCATAACACTTTAACATTAACTTTAACACCAATGAATTTCTTGCAGGCATATAAATGTACTTTTTCTATTTGTTCAAGCTTACTGAGTCCCCATATCTCTGCTCCATATAGAAATATCGGACTTATCTTTAAATCAAATATCGACTTGTAAGTAATATTTCCAAGAGTAATGATTTGTTTTAACACACCAATTAATACCTTTTGAGCTTGCATCGATGCTTGCTTTGCATGCATAGACCAACTAAGATGATTTGTAAAGTATACACCTAAATACTTGTAGAAAGAGGTAGTTTCTAGGCGTTCCCCTTTGTGAAACCATTATTCCTTTTGAGCAAGTTTCCCACCATTTTTAAAAACAACGATCTTCGTTTTATCTTTGTTTACAGTTAATCATAATAATGTAAATATGATGATGGTACTACTTACTTTGTGTATTTACAACACAATCAAAACATCAAATAAAAATAGAAATCTGTTATATATAATATTTGTAGTATGAAATTATAATTTGCTTTGTAAATGCCAAGAAACAAAAAGGATTATATAGGCAGTTGTCACGAGAGAAGTTCGAGACAACACGGTCGAAGGTGTCATTCAGTAAAATAAGTAGATGGTCTATTGTCCTTTTCTATGATAAATACATCTACATATGTCAGAGTTTGTGATCTTTTCTTTTGTTTCAATAGTAATAGTTGCATGCCTTGTTCCAGGTTAGATTTTAAAGTTTGTTTTTGATTGATCAGGTATGAATAGAAAACCATGATGACACAATTTAGAAAACTACAAACGTAACTACAGGTTACGTATACTAGTATTTATCTGGTACCATGTATACTGTTATACCTGAAATACCTAATTATTTGTATGCTGAAATATCAAACTGATCGGGTAATATTAAATAACGATTGTAAAATTACAATCGTCCTTTTTGCTTTGGAATTTAACAGTAGCCTCCCTTTCGAAAAAACACCCAAACCCGGCAAACCCCATTTTCACTGCTAGCCCCAAACAGGCATTAACCAATAACATTTGATTACTTGCGAAACGTATCGTCGAACACATCGAAAATTCATTTAACAACGCTCGTAGATTGATGTGCATTTTTCATTCATTGGAACTATTAGCATTATAAAATAGTAGCGAATTTACATGAAATAAAGACATTAATATGGCGTTATTTTTTTCTGGCAAATAGTAAAGCATTTACACCAGCCGGTGACCATGCATTTTTGCAACTAAATCTAGCCTGGATTTATTTTTTAATAAGATATGAAGATAATGTGGAGATATATTTTGTGAACATCAAAAATAAGGTGATCTGTTACAAGTGTCTTCCTTGCATCTGGATGAGTTATATTCACCCTTCCTGAGTTCCTGTGTAAATTACCGGATCGTAGTTTTCTGTGGCGTTCGTAATGATTTGGTATATTTGTTTATTTATAATAGTTATACACTTGCAGCATAAAATGAGATATATTAACTGATTTTTAAAACAAATAGAATCAGTTATAAAATACTTTTGATATCGGATCGGCTTTTTCTTCACACGCCCCCGAAAACCTACGCTCGTAGATAGCCGTCATATATTCATTTCCTGTCTTTTTCTTTGAGTGAAACTTTTTGGGAGGTATTATCGACAGCTTGGTAGCGGTAACATCACTGTCATTCTATTCAGATAAATCTTTGTGATCCGCTAAGAGATGTCCTTTTATTGGATTATCGCTGGTCGTAGTCGGATAAATCTCGGCTAAGGGAATTAACTCTAGCCCCGGATATTATGTAATATTGTCTACGTGGCTACCAGAATGGTCAGTTGTGAATGTCTACGCATCATTTGCGCATCTGTAGCGGTACAGGGAGGTTAACAGCAGGGTGTCGGGGTGTATCAGTTACATGCCAGACCGTAGCGCTGATGGTAAGTGATAAACTGTTGGGGAGGGCCGTCCCTCTATTATATGGTCTCTGCTATTACCTAAATGTGTGTGCCTTAGAGCAGCAATATGTCTCATGTACACATGTTCTCTTCTCTATTTGACAACTGTACGTGTTGAACTGAACAAACACAGTAACATACCGGCAAATGATGATATTAGTATTGCACAATTTGAAAACAGGTCTATGCATTATGATTTAGATAAAGCGACCGCATTTCGCAAAAATATTGATTAGGATCCAACTAACGCCATGACCACATCAACTGACTGAGCTATGATTACCCTCTCCAGTAATAAATGGATCAGCCGGCGGACTCGCTCACCTGCTTGTGAATGCGGCTCGGGAAACTATGGCTTGTGGGTCTGTCCTCATTTCGCCTACACCTCATTTCGGGCATTGCCTAAAAGTCGGGCCGGGCCAAGACGGGCCAAGACGGGCCAAAGTGTTACTGGCTAATTACTTCATTATCGGCGATCATACCTACATATAATTGATGCAACATACACACATGACGTAATGAACAATCACCAAACAAAAAAGTGCACCATAAATAAGTAATTCGGAGTAAATCGCTAGAAAACCAGAAAGTGGAGCAGTGTGTAAGCGTCGCTGATCTTGGTAACATGTAAAAGAGCAATCGTTAAACGAAATAAGATTTGAAACGTATCAAATACTTCTAGCTATCGTGATACAAGGTTCCATCTGTGAGCATAGTGTTTATATTTATAGGAACGTTCTATATATAAGTAAATACCACTTTATAATGTCACTGATCGTCGTATTTAAAGCAGACTCTTCTCCCTATACTCTCAACAGTCACACAGGTGTTCGGTCCGACTTGGCCCGGGCGGTCAAAATCAACTTTAAACTCACATATGTATCATCAAATGGATTCACATCTATAAACTAGTATAATATCTACCTAAATACCACTTAATAGTGTCTCATATCGCTGTACTTAAAGAAAACAAGGTGCTCAAAGTGAAGCATTTTTAGTGTATTTTCTTAAGAAAATCTCTGTCAGAAGTGTTCGGTCCGACTTGGCCCGGGCTCTCAAAATCAACTTAAACCTCACAGATCTAACTTTAAATGTGTTTACACCTATAGATTAGTGTTATATCTACCTAAATACCACTTTATAGTGTCTCAGAATGCTGTACTTAAAGAAAACAAGGGGCTCAAAGTGAAGCCCTTTTCCCTTTACATTCTCAACATAGTCTCTATCAGAAGTGTTTTGCTTGTGTTGGGTCCGACTTGGCCCGGGCGGTCAAAATCAACTTTAAACACACAGACGTATCTTCAAATGTGTTTACATCTATAGATTAGTGTTATATGTACCTATATACCACTTTATAATGTCACGGTACATCGTATTTAAAGAAAACAAGGGGCTCAAAGTGAAGCCCTTTTCCCTTTACATTCTCAACATAGTCTCTATCAGAAGTGTTTTGCTTGTGTTGGGTCCGACTTGGCCCGGGCGGTCAAAATCAACTTTAAACACACAGGCGTATCTTCAAATGGATTCACATCTTTAGATTAGTATTATATCTACCTAAATACCGCTTTATTATGTAACGGTACATCGTATTGAAAGAAAACAAGGTGCTCAAAGTGAGCCCTTTTCGCTCTACGTTCTCAACATAGTCTCTATCAGAAGTGTTTGGCTTGTGTTGGGTCCGACTTGGCCCGGGCGGTCAAAATCACATTTAAACACACAGATGTATCTTCAAATGTGTTTACATCTATAGATTAGTGTTATATCTACCTATATAACACTTTATAATGTCACGGTACATCGTATTTAAAGAAAACAAGGGACTCAAAGTCAAGCATTTTTACTGTTTTTTCTTAAGAAAATCTATGTCAGAAGTGTTCGGTCCGACTTGGCCCGGGCTCTCAAAATCAACTTAAACCTCACAGATGTATCATCAAATGCATTCATATGTTTAGATTAGTATTATATCTACCTAAATACCACTTTATTATGTCACAGTACATCGTATTTAAAGACAACATGTTGCTCAAAGTGAAGCATTTTTACTGTATTATCTTAAGAAAATCTCTGTCAGAAGCGTTCGGTCCGACTTGGCCCGGGCTGTCAAAATAACTTAAACTTCACAAATGTATCATCAAATGGATTCACATCTTTAGATTAGTATTATATCTACCTAAATACCACTTTATAGTGTCTCAGATCGCTTTCCTTAAAGAAAACAAGGGGCTCAAAGTGAGCCCTTTTCGCTCTACGTTCTCAACATAGTCTCTATCAGAAGTGTTTGGCTTGTGTTGGGTCCGACTTGGCCCGGGCGGTCAAAATCACATTTAAACACACAGATGTATCTTCAAATGTGTTTACATCTACAGAGTAGTGTTATATCTACCTAAATACCACTTTATAGTGTCTCAGAATGCTGTACTTAAAGAAAACAAGGGGCTCAAAGTGAAGCCCTTTTCCCTTTACATTCTCAACATAGTCTCTATCAGAAGTGTTTTGCTTGTGTTGGGTCCGACTTGGCCCGGGCGGTCAAAATCAACTTTAAACACACAGACGTATCTTCAAATGTGTTTACATCTATAGATTAGTGTTATATGTACCTATATACCACTTTATAATGTCACGGTACATTGTATTTAAAGAAAACAAGGGGCTCAAAGTGAAGCCCTTTTCCCTTTACATTCTCAACATAGTCTCTATCAGAAGTGTTTTGCTTGTGTTGGGTCCGACTTGGCCCGGGCGGTCAAAATCAACTTTAAACACACAGGCGTATCTTCAAATGGATTCACATCTTTAGATAAGTATTATATCTACCTAAATACCACTTTATAGCGTCTTAGATCGCTGTACTTAAAGAAAACAAGGGGCTCAAAGTGAAGCCCTTTTCCCTTTACATTCTCAACATAGTCTCTATCAGAAGTGTTTGGCTTGTGTTGGTTCGGACTTGGCCTGGGCGGTCAAAATCACATTTAAACACACGGATGTATCTTCAAATGTGTTTACATCTTTAGATTAGTGTTATATCTACCTACACACCACTTTATAATGTCACGGTACATCGTATTTAAAGAAGACAAGGTGCTCAAAGTGAAGCATTTCTACTGTATTTTCTTAAGAAAATCTCTGTCAGAAGTGTTCGGTCCGACTTGGCCCGGGCGGTCAAGATCAACTTAAATCTCACAGATGTATCATCAAATGGATTCACATCTTTAGATTAGTATTATATCTACCTAAATACCGCTTTATTATGTAACGGTACATCGTATTGAAAGAAAACAAGGTGCTCAAAGTGAGCCCTTTTCGCTCTACGTTCTCAACATAGTCTCTATCAGAAGTGTTTGGCTTGTGTTGGGTCCGACTTGGCCCGGGCGGTCAAAATCACATTTAAACACACAGATGTATCTTCAAATGTGTTTACATCTATAGATTAGTGTTATATCTACCTATATAACACTTTATAATGTCACGGTACATCGTATTTAAAGAAAACAAGGGACTCAAAGTCAAGCATTTTTACTGTATTTTCTTAAGAAAATCTATGTCAGAAGTGTTCGGTCCGACTTGGCCCGGGCTCCCAAAATCAACTTAAACCTCACAGATGTATCATCAAATGCATTCATATGTTTAGATTAGTATTATATCTACCTAAATACCACTTTATTATGTCACAGTACATTGTATTTAAAGACAACATGTTGCTCAAAGTGAAGCATTTTTACTGTATTATCTTAAGAAAATCTCTGTCAGAAGCGTTCGGTCCGACTTGGCCCGGGCTGTCAAAATAACTTAAACTTCACAAATGTATCATCAAATGGATTCACATCTTTAGATTAGTATTATATCTACCTAAATACCACTTTATAGTGTCTCAGATCGCTTTCCTTAAAGAAAACAAGGGGCTCAAAGTGAGCCCTTTTCGCTCTACGTTCTCAACATAGTCTCTATCAGAAGTGTTTGGCTTGTGTTGGGTCCGACTTGGCCCGGGCGGTCAAAATCAACTTTAAACACACAGACGTATCTTCAAATGTGTTTACATCTATAGATTAGTGTTATATGTACCTATATACCACTTTATAATGTCACGGTACATCGTATTTAAAGAAAACAAGGGGCTCAAAGTGAAGCCCTTTTCCCTTTACATTCTCAACATAGACTCTATCAGAAGTGTTTTGCTTGTGTTGGGTCCGACTTGGCCCGGGCGGTCAAAATCAACTTTAAACACACAGGCGTATCTTCAAATGGATTCACATCTTTAGATAAGTATTATATCTACCTAAATACCACTTTATAGCGTCTTAGATCGCTGTACTTAAAGAAAACAAGGGGCTCAAAGTGAAGCCCTTTTCCCTTTACATTCTCAACATAGTCTCTATCAGAAGTGTTTGGCTTGTGTTGGTTCGGACTTGGCCTGGGCGGTCAAAATCACATTTAAACACACGGATGTATCTTCAAATGTGTTTACATCTTTAGATTAGTGTTATATCTACCTACACACCACTTTATAATGTCACGGTACATCGTATTTAAAGAAGACAAGGTGCTCAAAGTGAAGCATTTCTACTGTATTTTCTTAAGAAAATCTCTGTCAGAAGTGTTCGGTCCGACTTGGCCCGGGCGGTCAAGATCAACTTAAATCTCACAGATGTATCATCAAATGGATTCACATCTTTAGATTAGTATTATATCTACCTAAATACCGCTTTATTATGTAACGGTACATCGTATTGAAAGAAAACAAGGTGCTCAAAGTGAGCCCTTTTCGCTCTACGTTCTCAACATAGTCTCTATCAGAAGTGTTTGGCTTGTGTTGGGTCCGACTTGGCCCGGGCGGTCAAAATCACATTTAAACACACAGATGTATCTTCAAATGTGTTTACATCTATAGATTAGTGTTATATCTACCTATATAACACTTTATAATGTCACGGTACATCGTATTTAAAGAAAACAAGGGACTCAAAGTCAAGCATTTTTACTGTATTTTC